TTGGAGTGAAAAGAATATTAGTAAAGTCCAGAATTCCTTTATGTATGTGCCTTTCATTCCACATATACATAATTGCACAATAATTTTGTGAATGTAATTGATATAAGCGTTAACTTACTTCTGTTGCAACGTCCTCCTCCATGGAATCGACGTCCCTCCTGTAACGGCGCTTCAGATGCTTCCCGATAAGAACTCCCTTGAGCACTGCCAGGGCGCCCACGCCCAAAGCTGCCGCTGCAGAAGCAGTGACAGTGGTAGCGGCGATGGTCCGGCTGCGGCGGTGGTTCCCAAGAGGATGAAGACTCGGAGGAGGCCCAGAGGCCGCACAGGAGGAGAGCGACAAACACGCGAGAATTCATGATGGTGGCGGAGTCTGTGAGGAGAAAAGTTGACAGTGAGGCTACGCAGAAAGCTAAAATCGTCAGAAGTCGACGACCTGAGACATATTCAAGAGTCTCACAGGAAACAATTTCAGAAGAACCAGAAAAGAGGATCTTTGTCCCTTACCTGCTTGTGTTCTGGAGCAGTGAGAGGACGAGTGTGATGGCGGTTCCTGGCAGAGCGCGATATTTATAGCGAGTGGACGGAGGCAAGGGGGGTGAAGGACCTGATCCTGGGTGAGAGGGAAAGCGAACGTATCCTATGGTGCAGGTAAGGCCTATTGACGTTAATTAGTATAGTATTTCAATCCTTACGTACGTGCTTCCTCAACGCACAAATGTGCTTGTATCTGCTTCTCTGAACGTTCGTTACAAGACATCGCTTTATATGTATTTGTATGCACATTTTAAATCCACTGACGCACGTGTATGGGTGTGTGCATATATATATATATATATATATATATATATATATATATATATATATATATATATATATATGTTATATGTATATAGATAGCGGTTAGATGGATTTACACAAACACATACATACATACTTGCACACACACACACACACACACACACACACACACACACACATATATATATATATATATATATATATATATATATATATATATATATATATGTGTGTGTGTGTGTGTGTGTGTGTGTGTGTGTGTGGCGTGCACATATATACATACATACATACACATGTGTATACATATGTATGCATACATATATACAATTACATAAACACATACACATATGTGTATGTAACTGTATACAGGTATATGTATATAAATATACGTACAGATCTTTATATCTTTATTAGTTTACGTACTTGTATATGTAAATGTATATATATACATATATATCCATATATATACATGTATATGTGTATGTGTGTGTATATATGTGAATATATACGCAAAAGTTTATATAAAAAGTATATATATACCTTTCTGAACGTGCTTTTCAAAAAAATTATGAGATATGTTTGGATATACTCATGTATTTTGTTGTAATATAATGTTATATATGTATATATATTTTTGTCAACCTGCATGTCTATCTATCTAAATCATGTAAATTTCTAATCATAAAAACAATAATATTAATATATAGATTTATATATATAAATTTTCTATATACATTATTATATATATATATATTATATATATATATATATATATATATATATATATACATATGTGTGTATGTGCAAAAGAATCATGAAGTATTCCTCGTATTACAATATACTCTAAGGCCACAGCATTTTTTTTTCTTGAATAGGCCCGCCGACATTTATTTCTAAGAAAAAAAAAAAAAAATCCGATTATTTTTTTCAAATTTCCCGATATTGACGTCCGCGAATGAAATAGAATGAATAAATAAAAATTTGTCTATGATTCATTGTGTATGGTATCGTTTCTCCCGTCCCCAAAACAAAATAAAATATATTTTGGCGTAAATACCTTTGCCATGTCTGTTGTCTATCGTGCCCGTGGTCGGTGGTTTTCTGATCAGTACTGGCGTATTTCGCATTATACTGAATTTCATTTCATATCCAGAAAGTCCTTTTCCTACCTGTATATGGTATTATATATATTATATATATATATATATATATATAATATATATGTGTGTGTGGTGTGTGTGTGTGTGTGTGTGTGTGTGTTTTTTATTTTATTTTATTTATTTTATTTTATTTTTTTGAATTTATAATATTCTGGTTGAAAGCATTCTTAATTTGTATTCAATCCTAGAAGACTTGCAGTAAGATAGAATTTACTTCCTCCAGTGGGGTCTGGAACTGATACATTCCTTTACTTCTGATCTTTGGAAGGTAGGAGGTACACTTGTCTTATTTTGGTGCTGGGGATTTTTTTTCCCCTCCGCCGATATTTTCATCATCAACAGACTTGCCTGCTATTCAAGGAAAAAATTGCCGTGGCCTA